ATAGACTCTAAAAATGACATATAACATATAAACTGATAAATTCACAGTGTGGGTCTTTAAAAGTGAACCTCAAATGGCAGTGATGTGAAAACAACGCGAGCTTTATTTAATCAAGAAACATTTGAAGACAAATGTTTCTTGATTAAGAAACAACCCACCCACGGTGGGTTGTGATGCCTCTTTCTAACAGGAGGGGGCAGGAGAGTTTCATATTGATCCTTTAAGTCAACTCTCAAGCCTCAAGACTGTTCATTAAAAACCTGTTCAGCTTTGACACCCCGTTTAAAATCACTCACAGGCATTTAAAATGACATTGTTATATAATGAATTTATGTTACGTTTTAATTGAATGTTAATACTACAGGTAGAAGAAGATCAATTATTTCACTTTTATGAGATTTTCAAGGTTTTAAAAGAAAGTCAATTCAAGTCAAAGTCTATTTATGTAGGGGGGAAACTATTCCAGTATATATGATTTTAAAATAAATAAATAAATAATCCCTGAATCCCCAAATGAACAAAGAACGTACTGCCAACATTGTTCAAGGTTTTTCTCCTGTTATACTGCAAACTTTAAAAAAAAAAAAAGTTTTACAGTTTTTGTCCAGTGCACTCTTTTCTTGGACACTATCTTTCACAGTGCCCAAGTCTTGATAGATAACCCTCGTGAAAAGTCAGAGGAAGAGTACTGTATGTTTTTTTTTCAATGCAAGGTTGTGTAAACAGTAACATAGGGTTACGGTCTTATCATTTATCAAGGGCATCCGTTATTGATGCTTCACGTTGTTGATGGTCTGACTCTTCCACGAAGTCCTACCTGCAGCTGCAGCCATGTTTCAGCTTACACACAGTAGCACTTCATTTTTTGCTAAAGACCTTCAGTTTGGTTTCTTACTTGTTCAGGTAGTTCCTTACATTTGTAACCATGTTACACTGGACACAAGCCGGGCCAAAACTCAATCCTAGGGTCTTTTATAACTGTCCAGGAAACTGCAGCATGTACTACTTACCAGGTATTATAGTCTATCACTTTAATTCTAACCCATGTAACCTAAACTTTAACTTCAAAAACACTACATTGGTGTCCTTTGACTTTTGTTTTACCTGTTTGTACCTATGTGATGTCCATCATGGCTGCTGGAGTTGCATTATTAGACATCTTTCACAGACTGTATGCAGTCTGAAGTTTTATAGTATGTGCAGTATTTTGTGCTGTATATACACTGAAAGATTTTTAATGTCACCTACTTCAATCTTTTAAGAAGTTCTTTTCTGTTTTCTTGCACTTTGCCTGTGCTTCTTGTCACATGAGAAATTCCTCTTGGGATTAAAAAAAAAGTTGGTCTTTCTGTTGGTAACTTACTTTAGTTTTTTGGGTTTATGGATCATCTTCAGGTCATTTTCCTCTCAGAACCTATTTTCTACATGTGAGTGGAAAGCTAGAGCACAGCATTCGCTCGCGTTTGTCTGCATTTCACCCAAATTGCATGAAAACGCTGTACAAGATAAACAGGAACTTAATCAGTTTTAAACATTTTTATGGAAGATGATTAAGCCTTGAGGATTAACAACTACTAGTGTTGCTACACTCAGGAGTAGCAACACTAGTAGCTGCTACTGAAGTCTGATGAATTTCCCAAAGTGATATCAACTGAGTTTGCATCAGTTTAAGTTTCAGAGAAATATATGTATTTAAACTACATGGTCACAACTAATGTTGGATGGCCTCCAGTCAACACTGCACTAAAAACAACATGACAAAATCACAGCGTGGGCTCAGGAACAATACACAAATCCAAATTTACATTTTAGCATGCTATAAATATAAATGAGATTCAGAAATGGTGTTGGTTTCTCATTTAACATGTGGTGTCACTGTGTCTTCTGGGCTAAAGAGGATTGTATTTCTGTGAAACAACACCAGATCACATTCTACTCATATTCTGACGATAGGGCTCCACAGGTAAAGAGTCCAGATACTAATATTGTCTGCCTGCAGTTCATACTTGTCATCAGCGGAAAATATTTTCCAATGTGAAACCAAAAATAAAGGATACAGAGGTTCCAAATCTGTTGTGTAGTCAAATTCAAAATGAGTGGATTTTTTTTTAACAAGTATTAAAAAATTGTAGTATTGTAACAAAAGCTTGGGTCCTCTACCAGAATCCTGGAAGCTTGAAGGTCCTGTGTAGTATTGTGCTTGTTCTTAGGACTGCACCCTTCTGAACTTCTGATCTTCTCAGATGAGGTTCCTGGGATCTTGCCACTTGCCCAGCTCGAGGGTCACTGCCTCGAGTGTTCCGATTAACACTGGGGCCATTGTTGTCTTCAAACTCCACATCTTCTCCAGCTCTTTTCTCAGCCCTTGGTATTTCTCGAGCCTGATGTTGCTATCAGTTGGTATAGCTACATCTATCTGCTTGTCCACCACTACAATGTCTGGTTGGTTAGCCATCACCAGTTTGTCCGTCTGTATCTGGAAGTCCCAAAGGATCTTAGCTCGGTCATTCTCAACTGCCCTTTGACCTCGGGACTTCTAAGCCATATTCGGCACAGATGTTCCTGTATACTGTGGATGCCACTTGGTTATGTCGCTCCATGTATACCCTGCCTGCTAGCATCTTGCACCCTGTTGTTACGTGATGGATTGTCTCAAGGGCATCTTTACACAGCCTGCACCTGGGGGTCTTGCCTGGTGTGATAGACCCCGGCCTCTACTGATCTTATACTTAGAGCTTGTTCCTTTGCTGCCATGATTAGTGCATTTTCTTTCAGTCCAGCTTTGTCCAGCCACTGGTAGGATTTTTTGATGTCAGCCACTTCTATCATGCAGGGGCCTATCCTACCTTGATGGTTCCTCTTCTTGCTGCTCTTCCTTCTTTCTAAAATAGCCCTGTAAGCTGTGTCTCTCCATGGTGTGACCATCTTGCACTTAACTGAGCAGACACAGCTGGCTGAACAGAATGCATATTCAAATCTGTTAATGCTCTACAGTATATTTACTCAAAGGATAAGGTATGGCTGATTTAGTTTTGCTTGTTCTTTTAAGCACACCATGAAAGGACCAAGTCAACCGTGTGCTAATCCACGTGTCAATACTTGCAAACTGAAATTTGATTTGCTTTTGGACCATTTGTGATTTAAGCAGGATGGTTGGTGCTAGCTATACAATGTGTATTTAGGGTGAAAAGAAATGCACTGCCCAGAGAAATAGTGTGGCTCTTTGATGTGTTTTTGGACAGCAAAGGAAGAAAAAAAGACAAAAATTGACATTATAGATACCACTGGATAATGAATTAAAGGGAAAACTACACAAAACACTTAAGAGCAGCTTCGGTGTCTGGAGCTCTGAATAGAACACCATTCATTTAAAAGGTATTCCCTAATTTAGTGTTTTGATGTTGGTGACCTAACACGTCTGTATAAACTCTCCCATAGTTGATGGGATGTGAAGTTAAAAACAGATGATTCGTATCATATTCATACTCATCGATCGATGAGTGCTATATGCATGGGACTATTGTAATCTTAAATAAAACCAGTCATGTCAGGACAGAGAGTCCTCATTGTGGGATTAAGGCGGTCATTCTGAATAGTTTTAATTAGCACTCTTAGCCACCTGAATGAGCACAACATGCACAGCATCAGAATCATGAAATCTGATGATCACAAAAATTGGTGGTTGTCTTTTGACTGCAGGAAATATTTTTGCATCCACCAACTGATTGTAACCAGTCACATCAACCGACTGTTGGCCCAGAGGTTAAGCATCCGACACCTTCAACCTTTGCTTGGCTTTTTTTTTTTTGATTGCACAACGTGACCTGTCTCCAGGCAGGAGTTTGCAAATGACTGCTATCTAATTTATAGAGACAGACAGATTCAAGCAGACTGAAATTTCCGAGTGGGTATATGCTGATGGGCGCAACTCATCTGTGTCTCTTTACGATAAGGGACTCAACTGGTTCACAGTGGTTCTGGTTGTATTCCTATATCAGAGCACAGTTTCTTAAAGCCTACATCATATTTTCTGTGCACATTTACATTTCTGTAAATGTTTGCAAAAGATTAACACAGTTAATTGTTGTATTATCACAAACAGATTATATGTAATTGCCAGCTTGACCCTATTTAACTGCAAACTGATAGCAAGCTCATAGCAGACTTACTCTTATTGCCACCTTATCACTATCATGGCGTGCCAAAGTTGCTATGGCGGTGACAACTGAGTGCACGATCAGTTCCAGTCTGCAAAGCAACCATTCCAGAGGCAACAGGTTCATAGTACACAGTTGCAATAATTGTCTCCGTATTTCTTAAGGTTCTTTCCTAAAATAATTAATTAATCTTTATATCATACTGGATACACAAACCGTGTTTATTTTCCTTGTTTGATTTGTCTTTTTTTCATGACGCTTGGTTAGATATGGCTCATTGTCAAGAAAAACACAGTTTCCATTTCACAGTTTTAGTAAGTCAGCGTGTCAGGTTTATTGTTGCTTTACAGTAATAGTCATCAGTTCTCACAGTTTATGCCAGATCAGTTAGTCACATACAGTGAGGCCAGGCATTCAAACACACAAATACACTGACACATACACAAATTTTAAAAAGAAAAACAGTGCTAGTAACACATAAGTTGTGGTAGTGGCCGCAGTGTCCCACTGATGAATGGGATTTGAAAGTTCAGTAGGAACACTGATATCCAGTATTAAAGCTGTTGATTGTGTGAAGACATCCAGCATAATACTGTTTTATTCAGAATTGCTGGTTCATGATGGGCTGTATAGTTTTGTGTTAGTTTGGTCAGAAATGTATCTAAACGATAAGGTGGACTGACTGTGCTTTGCCCTGGTTTTCAGGAACATAGTCTCAATGCTGGACATTCATATTAAGGTTCAAATAATGAGGTCAGTGTATGTACAAGTAACCCCTGTGAGTTCAGGCATCAAACATTTTTTTAACTCTAAACTTTTTATGATGTCAGAGAGAGAGAATATCCCTAATATGGTCATCTCAGGCACCTAGCTTCACCCACCTGCTGTTCAAACCTGTTTGTCGAGAGAGGTGGTCTAAAATACAAAACAAAATAACAGCTGAGATGTTCGCCTTGCAGTGCGTTGGCTCACCGCCCACATCTGTGCACACAGCATCGTTGCACCATGTTTATGCTTTGCAGGGAGTAATCCAGGTCATAAGCGAAGATGACTTGACTATAGGCTCAATGACATTAACATAAATTGCTTTGCCAAAATAAAAAGTTGATGGTGTCGTTTTGATGCTCAAAAAGTTAATCAACTCATATTTTTTTTACTTACTTTACTTGTCATGTAAAAATGCACAAGAATATAAATTTGCACAAATCAATTTTTTCCCTTGTTATTAGGATGTTCTGGATATTATTTGTTAGCCTCAGAAATATTGAGAATGTTCAGGATGCATGTAAAAATTGATGTTTTACCCTTAAACATAGTTGTTTCACTAACTGGTGCAGCAGTGTGGTAGTGGCATGGAGAGCAACACCTTGTAAATATGGATTACTTTGAACCTTTAAACAATGTTAGTCCCAGAATTCAAATATTGAGTTGGAAAATAAGCAAAATACACTGGATTGAAGGGTTAACCTACAAAATGAGCCCAACCTCCAGAGTGCGGATGTGAAAATGCATCAGGTACAGGAAGCTGATGGAAATAATGGAAAATTATTCAGTTCAAAGATTCCTTCAGTGCATAATTTCCAATAATATTCAGCCGGTACACCTGCCTGTCTCTCTCCAGCCCTTTGGGGGACATTTAATAAAGAAATACTAACAATGGAGATTTGCTAAAAAGATTCAAACAGAGGCTGTATAGAAACATGATTTCTTTTAAGATCTTGCTGGATGCTTGATTTAATACACGTGTATATTTTCTTTGTGTGACTTCATTTGAAATTTAGCTTCAAATAAGCTCATAAACTTTGTGTAAAATGTGTACAGTCTTGCATAATTAACGTCCTGTATTCACGTAATGTACAAAGGATGTGTGTGTGTGTGTGTGTGTGTGTGTGTGTGTGTGTGTGTGTGTGTGTGTGTGTGTGTGTACGCGCACGGATGTGTCTAGGTACCACATCTGTGGTTCAAGCTTCCTTTTGTTTTGACAGCAGAGATGGGCTGATTATAAGCCTCCTGTCACCAGGACAGACACAGCAGATTAACACAATACCACACTACAGTACACAAACAGAGGGGGATTTTACATATGTTAAAAGAGAGGGGCAGGAGGGTGTAGAGACTACACTTAAGCACACACACACACACTGTAAAGGGGTGTAATCAATAGCTTCTTTGTCCACCTTCACTCTTAATCTGCGGCTGATCTAGAACCACATCCTTGCACTGCTGCTACTCTCTTCACGCCTCTTCTTTCTTCTCTCCTGTAACAAAAAGACAAATATGGATGTGATTAGGAGAATGAGAAAAACCAGATGTGTCCAGCAGCTAAACTGTAACACACAGATGGAAATGCTAGGTTTGTACTTTTACAACCAATTACTTTAGACTGGAGAAAGAAACTCCAGCAAAACTGAGGTGTTTTAGAAGGAGGTGTTAAAAAGCCTCTGTAAAAGTTCATTATTTTTTCCTTCGAAGGTACCACATAAAGTCACATATATGTGAGCTGAGCTAGTGAGCCAAAAAGAGGCACATGTTGCAGCAGGGTGGGAAGAAAGTACATTGCCAAAGAGAATTGAGAACAACTTCATAGTGTTGGTCAAAAAAGAAAGAAATCTGGCTGCTAAAAGAGAACAAACAAACAAAATCATCTCTTGGTAGTCGAACATCAGTTTCAGAATGATATGAAATCGGTTGTTTGGTAGCGGATATGTACTATTGTCTTAACTCAGCTCCAGGGTTGCTTTGTTTTCACTATTCTGACAAATGAAGTCAACTCAGAAGTTTGAAAATAATATTGTTCATGTCGCCCCAAAATCAGTTCAATTTAATTTTATCTACATAGCACCAAATCACAACAACAGCTGCCTCAAGGCGCTTCATATTTCAAGGTAACGACTCTACTGTTATTATTTAGTCTGATCCCCTACTATTTTCCTAAGATAGACAGGCTGCAAGGCAGGATCTTTATTTGCTCAACTGAATCTATTAAATACTTACTCCCATGCTGGTTCAGCATTGGTCTCTGTTTGCGTAGCTCTTTGATCACACAACTGAACAAAAATAACACAAACACAAAGAAGAGGAGGAATTCTGGCCCACTCGTTTTTGCAGAATTGTTTTGATTCTGCCACCTTGGAGCGTTTTTAGCATTGAAGGCCTGCTTAAAGTCATGCCAAAGTATCTCAATCTGGTGTGAGTCTGAACTTGACCGCAGAATTCCAAAACCTTCCTTTTTAGGCTCCTATATGACTCTCAGACCTGTCCAAGTATCCACTCCCTTGTGTTTATTTTACCCTTACCTGTCTCTGTCAAGCTGGTCTGGCTGATTCAAATTTTCACCCTCCGGACCTACCTGCCTGCTCAGCCTCCCATTGATCAAATTTGAACAGCTCTGACCATTGGCTCCCCCACAGTTTGCTCGTCAACTCACAGCTGAAGAAATTACAACTCAATTGTGAATCAAAAACTCAAATCACCACTGCGCCACTCATCCATGCACCCATACTAAATTCCCTTGGAGAAACCTCCCTTTGTAACAATAAAACCTGTCAACTTTGAGCCGTTGTATCTCGTGAGCTTCTTTGGAGTCTGTTTCATGCTTACAGCTGTCATGGTGATAACAGAAGCACAATGACCACAGCTTCTGCACCAAAAATGCTGTTCCAGATGGTTCAGACCAACTCTAACCTCAACGCATACTCCTATGAATTATGCATGCATATGCATATGTTTTAGCCTCTTTCCTCTCTTTGCTTGTCGATGCTTAGAGACACATAGTGACATGAAACACAATGAACTTGAAGAAAGAAGCCTGTTTTGAGTACAGATATTTGTGTAAAAATGCATAGATTAAAAGCAAAAAGTCATCAAAAAAATAAAAACCCAAGTACAGATACCTGAAAATCCTACTTACGTATAACACTTCATACAAATATTTTTTTAACTCCACCTCTGGGGCTCTATTTCCCCCAGGGGTTGTCTTTCCCATAGTCTGAACTCTTGTCTTAGGTGTGTTTTGCTGGTGGGACCAGATCAGTATCTGTTTACACCATAGACAATAGTCCTCTGTTGTTTCTTTCCATTTTCTTCCCTCTGCTCGCTCACTCCTCTTTCATCCCTCTGGCATTTTTACCTCCTTTCACCAAGTTACCCCTCTACTTCCTCGCTCTCAACAAGCCCTCACTTTTTTGTCCTCTGCTTCAGTTTTTACTCCGTCTGTTACTCTCGTCTGTGTCCTTTGACTTTGGCCTAAGTGGACGTCAGTTCAGATCTTCCACAGCATTCTATGGTATCACAGGGCTATAAGAGTTATATGACCCTGAAGAGCTCTACCGTGTAGCCTTCAGAGCGTAAACACTAGCTGGGAGTTCACTGTTGAGCTGTTACATCTGCAAAAATAGCTGTTTTGGGCAAAATGACTCAGTTCAAATGAAACCAGTAAACTGACAGTTTTACTCATTATGTGATCGCAATTCCCAAAACACCATGACTACATGGAAACACTCAGTTTTCCTCTGGACATTTAACGTGACACACCACTGATTTTACAGGTTAGCTCATGTAGAACTCTCTGTAGTATCATTCCATGTGGTTCTGCAGAAGGTTTTTCTGGCTTTTCTTGGCTCGGCTTACAGGCTTTCTGTAAGCCGAGCCAAGCCCGTGACGTGGGCATGAGTTTTATCCATTCATGTAGGACTAACAAAAGTTGGAAGCTATTTAGCGGCATTATAATGTAAGATCCCACGCATGTGGCAAAGCATTACCCAGACCATGAACTCAAATTCAGCATGTTTTACTTTCTGATTTAAAAAGTTACAGACGCTACATCGATGTCAGATGAGATAATTTACTGCAAGGCAGACACTGTGTTCCTGTCCCTGACATTATGTTGCAAAAGGCTAACTGATAGTGTAGAGATGTGAGAAAAGGTTACTGCTTCTGCCCACCGTCGCTCATTTGTATTTAACACGAGGCACTTGTGCTCTTACCTTTAACACTGAGCCAGAATGAGGTCTGAAAAGCTACAAATATTCCTCTTTCTTCTTCTTCACAACTTCAAAACAGCGTAGAAACACCATAAGAATGAAGGAATGCAGACTCATAACCAATAACGCAAAAATGTTTATCTTCAAAAGTGAAGCATTTGTTTTGATCTAAACAGTACTAGGTGACCTCATCTGTAATTATGCAATGTTTGGGGAAAGTGACGTACCTGCTTAATATTCGTGTTTATTTCACATCAGCACATAAAAAATAGTAAACAAGGTTGTTTGTTTTAGCCTTACACTTTTGCAGTCGTCGCATTTTTAAGCGTCCTGCTCTGTTCTGATGTCCTAAAGTTCTGCCCTGCCTTCCTCCTGCAGTGCTGCTGAGCTAAATCTGGGATCTCTCCATGCACTTTGTGCTGTATATAGGTTGGTCCCACATTAGTAACTAAACTGGGTTAGTTCTTCCAGGGCCTGATCTATTATGTGCCATGGATTCTGAGGGCCCAAATACCTCAGGGACAGTATGCCTAGTTCATTAAAATTCTGTCCCTCATGAGGAAATGTGCTGAACTGACTAAAAATACAAAGTGTTTGGTGGTAAGTAGAGCAAGTGATAGTTACTTTTTCAAATATCAGTCATCACATCTACAGATAATTATTGATTCCCCATCTACAGTGAGCTAAACAGCATTTTAGAGCTGTTCAGCTCACTGTTTCTGAGTTTAGTTACATCAGATTTGCTGTTGTGGTTTGATCTCACTGAGGGCATCAACAGCTGTTTGTCAGGGTTTTTTTACAGCAGTAGGGAGTTGTCAGAAAAATTCACTGTACAACAACACGCTCAGAGGCTCAGAGTTACAATGAGCGTAAATATCATCTTAAACCATCTTGATAAAAAAAAATTCCTAATAATACTTTGTATTTGCTATTGTACTGTCACTGTTTCCTAACAAACTGCTATTATCTGTCTTGAACCCTCTGCAAGAAAGGTGTACGATACCAGGCATGCGTTCCATTAATAGGTTTGACCTTATATGAAAAGACAAACCCTTTTCCTCAAAGTAGGACGTGACCACCTCAGAACACTGTATTGAAGTGCAACTCACTGTGACAATGCTACCTTCTTTGATTGTATCTGTAGGTCCCACAGTTTGTCTGAGATGGCGGTGGAAAGTGGGAGTCACTGGAAGGCAGCGCGAACTGTCCGGTCACTGAGCGGCTGGGTGGGACGGAAGTTGTCCCCCAGCATCCCATCATTCCCTTCTGGCAGCTCCGCACCTTTGACGTGGGACCGTAGTCTCCGAAACTCCTCAATCTGCAATGACAAAGATGTTTACACAGAAACTGAGGGAGTCTGTTGAGGTCTTGGAGACGCAGGGCTACTTTTTCACCAGAAAATCCTCCTTTCTGAATTTTAGAATTATCATAATTTACTTTAATTCAATTTAAAATGTTCTGATGTCTTACCCTGTAGTAGAATAGCAATCTTCTTTTTTTTTCTTCTTTTTACCACAACAAGAGGAGCACTGTGGTGATTGTGGGTTTAGGTTCCACTGTGCCTTCACTTTATATTGCATTGTGTCGCTGCAGGTATTTATTCATGTCTAAGGAAAAGAATCTGACAAACTGTCAGCTGTATAAAGTCTTCAGAGCCTCACTTTCACCTTCCTAAAAACAAGCTTGTGGGTATAAAAAGGAAGGACTAAAGTTATGTGTGATTCCTCATAACAGAGAAAGTGGAGGGGTTATTTCTGGTGATTTCACTATTTGCTTTGGTTTAGCATGTCAGATGGACAAACGAACCATTTTTACTCATCTCTGAATACAACAGCTCGACAGGTCATCTACAAAAAAGAGCATTCTGGTCTTTTTATAATTCTCAGATCAGAATAATCTTTCACCTGACTTCCTGTTCATGAGAAAATGCTGCAAGTGCAGATATGATCTACACACACATACTGTGCAGGGGGTAGCAATATCAGGCAAAACAAATATGAGGCTTTTTATGCAGCCGTGCAGCTGTGTCACAGAGGAAAGCTTTATAGCACGCTGTCAAAGTGCATTACAACATACTAACAACATAGTAGGCATAGTAACTGCCTGATATGTATGCACATTCACTGAGCACACACACACACACACACACACACACACACACACACACACACACACACACACACACACACACACACACACACAGAGTCAATAATAGCCGGATGTTTGAGGTGTGTATTCTAGGTAAGAAGGACCTGCTGTTTTAAAATACTTGCTGTGGTTACAGAACATGTTACAGAAAGAAGAACAGTAAAGTGCAGCACAGTACATGAGTAGGCATAAAAAACAGCATACAGGTCAGTGTGCTGGAGTTAACTGTGTTTTTTTACACTTTGCTTTTTTACTTTAAAGGGATGTAGAGAGAAGTGTAATGGAAAGGGTGGCAGGCAGAAGGTCGCATGTATAGCATAGTTAAAGGACTATATTATTCTAGTGTAACCCACTGCTTGGGCCTGCTTATCAACTGGTGAGAAACTAGAGCTGCTGTCTGAACTGCCTAACACTTGGCAGGTTTTATACTTACGCCCCTCATAAAACCAGAACCCAACTGAAGATTTTTCTGTTTTAGTGTTTGCTTTTAGGACTTCTATTTGTACGCTGCAAACAAGAAGCACTAATAGTTGCGGAAGGAGCCATAAAAATGGCTTAACTTAAAACTTTAAACACATACTATATACCACCTGTTTGCAGGATTGGCTTTGTTATCATCTAAAAATAAGAAAATTTATCATCTTTAACCCATTGATACTTTCCAGCTTTTATTATTCACAATAGGGCATGGCCTGAGGGAGCCTGAAGTCATCCTTTCTGTTGGCATTTCTGCAGGTTCAATGGAGCAGAAAGCAGGGAACATGAAAGCCTGAATTAAATGTCAGATGGTTACTGTCATCATCCTTTACATCAGGCTGCTGGAGTAAAGCATGAGAGACCCAAAGGCTAAATTCAAATAAAAATGTATCAAAAGAAACTCGACAGACTTATTGATTGGTAGTGAGTGTAAAGGTTTCCTGTACTGTGAGTAACTGCTAGAGAGCTGTGGACTAGCATTACTGTGCAATTTAAAAATACATACAGGGCTGACATATTGATCATATAAGACAGGATGTAGAAAATGAGAAACCCCCTCAAACATGAACAATACAGACACTGAACGCAGTAGAAGAGCCACGCCAGTAAAAGCAATGTAACTGATTGGCTTACACTTGTCATGGGTAGCCGTTACCATGTTTCATGGCCTATAATTTTGCTGATGTCTACTTTATTTTACTGCTGCAGCAGATATCTACAATTTGTTTCATAAGAGAAATAAAATGTGTTTTGCCGATAAACAGACTATTCACTAGTAACAGAAATTTTGTATATCAGTGTTAGGCTAATATTCTTAATATTCACCACTTAATAGATCTTGATGCATGTTCAGCCATCCAGGTACGGAAATACTAACAAGTTGATTCTGTTTATCTAGATGTGAAATTTTCAGTGAAAAATAAAAAATAAAAAAAAGACAGGTTAGCCTTGTTAGACTGTGAGATTTCCATCAGTAATGGGGGACATTTAAAAGTTGGTGTGTACCGTAAACCTACGAATACAGATCAGTATTTAAGGTTTCATCATCCACTGCTGCACAAACTGGGTGTCATCAGGACGCTGCAACATAGAGGGAACACCATCCCAACAGACTCAGCAGCCAGCGAAGCAGAAGAACAGCGCTTCAAGAAGGCCCTGAGTAAATGTGGTTATCCCAGCTGGACATTTGTTAGAGCACCTAAAGAAAGCTCCAGCTGATCCAGGAGAGAAGGGCAACCGCTGCTTAAGCGAAAACCTGTGGTCATCCTGTATGTGTCAGGAGTATCGGAACAGCTGAGACGCATTTTCTCTAAACACTGCATCCGTGGCTTTTAAACCCCAAAACACGCTGAGCCAAAAATTGGTCCACCCCAAGGATCAGGTCCCCTGACACAAACAGAGTAATATACTGTACGCTGTTAAGGAGGATTGCCAGGATTTATACATTGGAGAAGCCAAACAACCTCTGGCTAAGATGGCACAACACAGAATAAGTAACTCGTCAGGCAAGGTCATTGATCAGTGGCTGTTGATCAATGGTCATGACAATTTGCTTACTAATGATCAAGAAACAGACCTCACAGCCCATTGGTCATTCAGTGGTGCTAGTTTAAGTCATTATGCAAATCTACTGTATATAAGGTTGGAAACCTTCAGTCAGCTGAGACTGAAGAAGTCACTTGGATCAGTGGCGAAACATTTCTCTCACTGAAAACGCTACGTCCAGATGACCAGAATCAACTTTTTGGGACCACTTTATAAAGTTCCTGAAATGCTTTTATTGTGAAAAGCAGCAGGGTTTTGCGGTTTTGCAGCTTTCTGCATCTAGGGTTTTTTTCTTTTCTTCTTATTATGAAAGATTGACAATTATACATTAACCCTTTACTGTATTCACCATTATATTCTCCACTGATTTCTGGCAAAATATATCCGTCTCATCAGCAGCTAAACACTCCACTACCATCAGCAGCTGATGCTGTAGCTTCTTCTGAGAAAACAGCTGCCCGAGGACTTTGCCTGTCAGGAACCCAAAACACTGAGCTGAAAGGGCCTTTAAGGCTGAGATAATAATTCTGGGATTAAACAGAAGAAGAAAAATAAATAAAACAAAAAAAAACCTTAAAAAGGCAGAGGATGCTTTACTTTACCTGCTTTATTTGTTTTACCTGTAACTGTGAGATGGTGAGAGGGTAACGATAGAGAATCCAGGTCACATTCTCACTACAAGGTGGTGTAGTCAGAGATCCTTCATACACCCAGTAGTCTCTCAGTAATGGATCTGTGGGCAGGTTTTGTGGAAAAAGCAAACATCAGTTATACTTTGATGATATTGTTTCAGCTCTCAAGGCTGAACAAAAAACAATTTCTTCATCCCATCATGCAGTTGACTTTCTGAAATGAGGACATGATCTGCATTTTTTTTCAACTTTATCTCACACCCACACAAAAATCGTATGGGTGTTATCAGGAGGCAATAGCTACAAATCTGTATCGGTGCTCAAGACATCCTTGCTTACCCGGTAACAGAGTGTTGGGATTAAAGCAGGGGATTATCTTGCTCTTCCCCTGGTGGCATTAACACAAAGATAATTATTCTCATTGTACATGCATCCTACAAATCCAGCATTTTAAGATGCTTTCATCTGCTCAGATTTTTTTTTAATTCAGTCACACCTTGTACTGCAGGTCCTGGAGAACTTCAGTGATGGCCTTCAGTCCCAGATGCTCTTTACCAATCTGATAAAAAAGTAAGCATGTTTGGTTTCACAACTGACAAAGTAGTCCTTATTTCAGCTTGAACTAGTTGATAACGATAATGCTACCAGTGATTGTGTTTAAGCAGGACTTTTATACTTTTATGTCTGCAGGAAGTAAACAGGGAATGAAGTAAGAATTCTGTTGAGAACAGGATGTGTGTAGTGTTAGGTCTGAGGTCAGGAATGTTTTGGGTTGAAGAAAGAGTGAGATAGCCACTGTTTTTTGTCAAGGTTTTTGAGCAGGTTTCTCAGCAGACTAGCTTTTCAAGAGGTCTACTGAGAGTTCTTGAAAACCCGGTCTCATTTCATGAGCTGAGGATTATTCCTTATGGAGTGCATTAAGCATGTAAATCAGGGGAATTCCACAGGAACGTGGCAAACAATACATTCCAAACTGACTCATTCTCAGGTCACACCAAGCACATCTAGAATTTATCTGATCAGTCATTTAGGAAAACAGCTTTTACAATGCTAGGAAGGAAATCACATTAGGGCTGATAAAAGCAAATGTTTATAAAAATGCATGTCAAGACTAGACTTAAAACGAGCATTGTGGCTCAGTCCCAGTTTAGGGAGCCAGCATATAACTTAGAACTCCACAGAAAGACAGCACCTTTTACTTTGTGTTTAACTGAGCATTCACAGGCTGCATAAGATGTCACCAAACACTCTGTAGCTGGATCATATACATGGAAAATGGGACAGCCTTTTTAAATGGCACTTCCCCTGAGCTGCACTTAACAGGGAGAAATGGTGTGTTTAAGTGTCTTTTTTTAAGCATGGAGAAAAAAATGCATCTGTTTTATGAAGAAATTTATTTAAATTTATGTTTTGTTTTGTTTTTTTTGGGGGGGGGGGTATCTGTATTTCTTTCTTTCTTTTAAAGTTCTTCAGTGGAAGCTTTACAGACATTTTCAAACATTTAAAAAATGCAATATATCAAGCAATAACTAGTTTTGACAATGTCTGTCACACTGGGGACAGTGTGATGATTTTCTGCTGGTAAGCCTCAGTTGCATTCATGTAGATGTTGCTTTGACCTGCCTAAACATTACTGCAGAACACATATTTCTCTGTGGAGAAAGTATTCATTAATGCCACTGGTCTTTTTCAGTAGGATAATACACACAACACTTGACAAAGAGTTCAAAGTATTGGGCCCCCAGATTTCCCAGTTCACAATAACAAGTGTATGTGGAATGTGCAGGAAAAACAACTTCATTCCATGAATGCTCCACCTCCTAACTTCCAGGACTGAAAAGACACTGACTTTAACGATGTTTCTGACTGACATGGAAAATAGTTTCTTGGCTATGAATAAACAGACATTGTAAATCAATCCTTTATCAGGTCACTTTGCCAGCCTTCTGGCTCTGGATGCTTACCTGCACAAAAAGAGCTATGATAAGTACTCCATTCTTCTTCCCTAGAGCATCCTCCAATGTGTTAAACAGAGTGCTGTTCCAGTGAATCAGATGAAGCTGCACACAAAGAAACAACACATTACAATCTGTGATTGAGTGGCATTTGCTGTAGAGAGGACAAGTTGTGAGTGAGTGAGAAACCATCAGCTTGTGGTGACTGAAGGCTTTTTGTAAGGGCTTCCACATAAACAAAGGGACGTGTACAAAGCTTCGACCCTGAAACCAGTAAATACAAGACCAGACTGAAGTTACATACATGATAGGACTTACAGCTGCCATGCTATGTGTCTTATTACAACAGACACAGTGGAAAAACATTAATGTATAATATCTTTGTGATCTCTGAGCTGCCTGTTTCATTATCAATAGCCTTCTGCACTGAGAACTGATAATGTGTTTTGTAAAAGGAAACATAAGCTATCGTAAAAGGGTAGTTCTGCTGCTACAAACAGGAATGGAAAGAGACACTGAGCTATACTGAGAATAATATCTGCAGTAGATTGAGCTCAGTACAATCGACACAGTAAACTGTATTTACCACTGTCTTCAAATAAGCCAAGCTCTCTTCACACAATTTTCCCTTGTTGACTACGGACAAACACTAAAAATGGGAAAATGGGACATTTGTAGACCAGCAAGTCCAATGTTCTGTTGTCAGATTCATATATTTTTGGTGTCCTAATAATTAGGAATTTATTAGATATTTACCTTGAGGTCCAGTAAAATGCCAGATATTATATTCTGCAGGAACGTTATCTAAGAAAGTTCACCAGAATTTATAACATTAGTGTTTGAAGATGGAGTCCAGTTTTGGGAAATGCAAAGTTGTTGTAGATGACAAGATAAAAATGGGATTGACCTAACGTGGAGTAAAAACCAAAGTAGAAACAGCTCACACATTTGTAAACAAAAAAAAAATGAAAATATAAATGTAGGTTTTTGGATGGAGTGGTACAGTTTCTTGATGAACTGTCAGAGAACGCACCGTAAAGATTTCACAGACACACGGAGTCACAGAATGTTTGATTATGACTGTGGAACAATGCTATTGATATCAAAGCAGATACTTTTCAAAGAAAAAAAAGATTTTGTCTTCAAGGACTCATCAAACTACAGTGTTAGCTGAAGACAAGTCTAAACAAATGAGTGCATTTCTTTGGTGTTTGGGGTGTGCTTCGTGGTTATGGCCTTGCTTTTTTCTCTTTTTTCTCCTTGGTTTACCTCCATAGGGAAAGCCTTGAAGTTGACCGTGTGCTCCGATCCTCTTTGGTTCTCTTTGCCCCAGTGGAATCGAACCTCATGAAGCTCATACTCGTGATCGCTTGGCAGTGGACCTCCAGTAACCACTGTCACAGGAAACCAGATGGTTTATGATCAAGCACGTACAGGAAGAAGGCTAAATAGGTCAGAATAATAGTCGGTGTGAGAGAAAGGGGTCATTTGTGATGCGATGCAACTTTTTTGCTTTTCCCTTGTGAGAAAAATATACATTAATCACCTCCTACCAAATCTCAAAAACTATTCATACATCCTGTTTCAAAGCAGTTTAGTCAACAATTTGTGTTTGCTGATATGATGTCATGGCTGCTGGGAGTTACCTGACTTGGACCTGAGAATAATACGGACAGTGTGTCCATCATTGATGACCTCGCAGTCTCGACACACCACGTAGTTTGGTGACAATCCAACATCCAGGAGTGACGGATCGTAGTGAGCCTCCCTGGAGTTTAGATTAATGGGAGACTGGTACTCGCCATTGGCTGCTGGGAAATGAAGTCCCCATTCTACACCTTTATGAGCAAAAATAGGCATAAAAATGCACATGAAATAGAGCATACATTCAGATTATTGTTGTAACATATAGGCTTACTAAGAACATGACCATTAAAAATGGTTGCACAGTTTTAAGTGTTCTGCCAAGTCACACTTAAAAGTAAAGGGAACTGTTGCACCAGCTGTTTCAAAGTTCAAACTTTGACTAGCTGTAATATGTTACCAAAGTCATCATCTACACGTAATTTAAACAATATACACCACATAAAACAGCTCTTATGACTTGGTCATTGCTAAATAGGCGTCCATCCTGTGCCTCAAATCAAGTACTTCCCTAAGTACCATTTGAGGTAAATAATGGCTTTCACTGACAGCTTTATTCAGAGCATTCATAAGCAGCATCAAATATTGTTTAAGGGTCAAAAAAATGAAAGCAGCATGGAAGTGGCTTAATCTGCATGCCATATGAAGGGTACGAGGTTGCAATAAGCCCTGCAACAGACTGGCGTCCAGGGTGTACCCTGCCTCTCAGATGGATGGATGGATGGATTGGATAGATATCTATGGTTACAAAAAGACTTCCGGTGAAGTCTAGAGGGAAAATCTGTAAAAACTTCCCTAATGAGTTCATGGAATCGGTCATAAAAATAGCAACACTATTTTTCTTCTTCGCTCAATGACATCAGTTTCTAACTTTCTGCAGTTTCGCTTCTGGATTTTTGGTGAAAGTTTGTACAATCTGTGATCAGATGCTGACAGCAGGCAGCAATCCAATCACAGTCAAAGGTTTCAAATGCCATACTCACAACTCAGGTTTTAATTGGTGAACATGCAATCAGTCTAAATTCATGTAGGAAGGAAATATGTTGTGTACTTAATGTTGTGTGCCAGTAACACAAGTATCCAAATTAAGATACACCTTTAGAGATTTATTTTACCAACAGCTGGTCCAACCCAATCACTGACCCTGAAACTTAACCATCAATTCAGCTGTCATTCACTTTGGTCTTTTTCCCATACCAGAAAAAATCCCCTTCATGTTGTTAGCCATGCTAACAAAGCTCACTTGCATGGCTAGTGCTTGCTCACTAGCCTCGCAAGTGAGCAAACATGTACTAGACAGGGAATTGTATGTTTAGAGTACAGTTACCAGTTAAGATTTCAACAAGTCATCCAACTTGACTGGTCATTTGCTCTTCCTACTGGAGGAACGGGGGGGGGGGGCTGTTTTATATAAGAGGGGAGTCAGAAATGTTTTTTTATTAGCAAGTCTACAAGCAGTAAAGTCATAACCTGTAATTATTATAATAAATATGGCAATGGTAGCCTAGTAACAATGAAAGCACATTTTATGGTACCATATGGATGGATAGTTATTTATTGGAGTTTGCTGCTCTCTCTCTCTCATATATATATATATATATATCCAAACTCCATGGATATCTATCCATCCATCCATCTATCCATCCATCTTCATACTAATCAAACAGTTTAAATAGTAGTTGTGGTTCAAATTGGGGTTTGTCGCCACAAAATCAAAGTCAAATAATATCCCCTGAAGTGATATAAACAGATCTGGGTGTGTGCTTGAGAGGAAAACGGTGGTTTCAGAAGAACGTGTGGGGACACGAGACTGGCTAAAACTGGTCTTAAGTCCCTCTTCCTCTTTGCCTTGTCCTCATTCTGGTCCTGAGTTTCTTTCTGCTTCCTCTCAGTGTCTAGTAAACAGGACTTCTTGCAGTGAGTGTGACAATGAGATTACTGTTCATAAAAACAAAATTAAGCAGACTGCAGTTGTAAAAACAGGGCAAGTCTGTCCTAAATGAGACAGATCACCTGTTCACAGCACAACACTAGTAAGGCCTTTGCTATCAGTTTAATAGAGTGTGAAGATAAACAAGTGTAGAGAAAGTGATCCCACTGAAAGACAGAATTTGCTTCACTTTTCAGCTGACTGCAACAGTAAGAGATGTGTACAATGTGCACAACCTGCTGTGTTTTTAGAAAAACGAAATACACACAGGCAGTATCGTGTTCATGGAAAGTCCAGTACACCCATCTGCCTCCAAGACAAGGAGCTCAGGCCTCACAGTGTGCCTTTCTGTTGGGACTGCAGATAGACGGTCCTCACTGGCTGACTACTCACACCATAGCAAAGAAGCATGGGGCAGTGGTCACATTCTCGCTTTCCTCAGCAACTAAAGCCTTAACAACAGTTTACTAAAGGCAGTGAGAATTTCAGTGGCACTACTAAATTGCGGATTGTTGCTTTAATGACCTCAAATTAAGGACTTAGCTTTGTGAGTAATTACGGTTTTTTTGCTTCAGCCATTGGAAAAGAATTTGGTGTTGTTAACTTTAGTGTTAGATGATATCATTCTTATGTGTAAGCTAATCAAGAAATGACTGTGCCAGCTTGTTAGCCACACAGGCGTTAGTTGGTGGCCATCTGATAGCCACCACTCAGCAGGGAAAATGTGCACCTTCAGTGGTTGTTGGAGGTTCTGGCAGTCTCTGTGAAACCAACTGATCAAATCGCAGACCAGTTAGTCAGTGACCTTGTAATTCACTGGTTGCAGCAGAAAGATGTGCTTTCTTTAACTGGTTGTGGGTGGTTGCTGGAACTTGCTGGCTGTTGTTATCAAGAAAGTGTTTGCAAGCAGATGTAAAGTGGTACACCAAAACCCTTCTTTGAGAAACCCCCTTTGCTTTACTTGATAGCAGGCTGCCACCTTTGCAGCAGTTTATATGGAAGATGCTGAAATTTCTGTAAACACTTGCAAACTACTCACCAACTGTTAGTGAAACTAAGAGTGACGAAAATGAGAAATTGAGAGCAGTCAGAGTAAAAGTTAGGGTTAGCCCTAACCCTAACCCAATTTATACTGCACTTGTTCCACTTTGACTAAAGCTTGTGGCGTAAATGACAACTCGTTGTAGAAAAGTCTGTCTTCAATGCAAACTGCAGGTGACCAAAGCTATCACAAGCAGATTCCTGGTGTAGCTGATTTCACCTGGCAATAGCAGCAACAATTTGCCAGCAACATTTTTCCCTGGTGACCAGAGGTTGTCAGGGGGTCAACCAACCTCTAGGTCTATGTGACTGACACCTTAGCTAAGTCCTAAGAAAGGAAACTTTTGCTTATTACACAGCAGTGAGCTCTGTCAGCTCATAGCAAGGAAGTTCTGTACTTGTGCTTATAAATTAAGATGAAGAATTTCCTGTGGGAACCTCTCATCTCCTCTTAGCTAACCAGGTATTTGCATGTCAAATATTAGTGTCTTAGATATACATGGTATTCCATATAATTTAGTATACTTACAGTAAGAATTTCACAGTTCAGTGTGACAGTATATCCCTCGATGCTCAGTAAAAGCAGCATTAGCAGAAAGACAAAGTGAACACATAACTACATGACATACTGACAGTATGACAGTCATGTTTGTAACCTATGTTCAAGTGTTTATGTGCTTTATTCAGTTTCTCTGTAGACAAAGATATATGAGTGATATATGAGTGACAGCTCTTAATGCCAAGTCATTTTTGAGTTTTATTGTATGAATTGTAGAGTCCAAGGAAATCTTTGCTCTGCTGTAAGTCTCTGACCAACAACTGTCTGTTGCAAGTCTCCTATACTTTTAGCAGTGCAGTGATAAACAGCTGTTTGCTGGCAACTTGATATTGTTGCCAGCAAAAAGTGATATTGTTCTTGTGATATTTTTCTATATGACTGACTGTAAATCATGCCGTTCGAGCAACCTACAGCATAGGAGATGAGAGAGTAAAACCATTAGTGGTGTTTTAAAAACATATTGGTCTGACAGATGTTGTACAGTGTATAACCCAAATCCAACTAAAGAATCAAATTGCATTTTTTTTTAAATGTTTTGAAAAAGTGTAAAGTTTTGGGTTGTCCCCCTTAAAACTCCTCCTGATCCTTAGCTTTTCACACATCTCCAGCATCCCTTCACATGCTGAGAGAGCCCAGCCTACCTTCCTCATAGCCCCAGTCCAGCTCATCTTTCCCCGGAGTATAATCCGACTCCTCATTCACATTGTCAGCCATGGTGCTTTGCAGTCTACTCCCTGTGGCTAGAAACCAGTCTGTCCTCCCACTCACGGCTCCCCGTCACTCTGGTTTTAACTGGTTTTGGACACAAACTGAAGTCTGCTGGATGGATTCCCAGCTCAACAACAACTCTCTCTTTTCTTTGATGCAGTTTCTCTTTTCTTCCTTTTTTCCGTCTGTCTCTTCTTAACCCACTTTCTTACTCTCTCTTGCTCTCGTCCTCCTAAAGAGACAAGCTGATGATGTGTGCAGACTGCTCTGCCTCTCTGAGCAGCTCTTTACTCTGTGTTGCTCCACCTCTTTTCTCTCGCTACTTTGCTCTACTCTTATCTCTCTCTCTTCCTTTCTGTGTCTCTGCAGGTGTGCTTGCTCACCCTGCCATAAAATGTCAGAACAGTGTTTCTTTTTCATCTCCCTGCCCTGTATGCTCCCTGTGTTCAGAGGTGAAAATAAACTGTAAAGCATATCGGCTTTAATTATTTTTTCTTTCTTGATTTATTTGTTATGATCATTTACCCTTTCTGCTGTTTTCGGAACCACAGTGGTTGTGTGTATGTGTGTGTGCTGGAATGCTGGCAGGAAGGTCGAGCTGGCGTTTCTGTTGGAGGTCACAGATCCACCCTTGGGTGAAGGAAACAGCAGTGGTTGAGAAAACATGCAAAAAGTAGCATGAGGGTGAAAGTGAAAGGCCAACTCTACTTCAGACTTGATGACTTCAAGATGGACAAAGAAAATGGCTCTCAAACACCCACAGAAGCCTTTGGCTACAACTTCATGGCCTATCACAAATGAGTTTGAACACTGAACAGTGCTTTATATTTCACCCTGTTATACATTCTTTAATTACCAGTTGTTGTCATTTGTAAGTTAACTATATATTTTTCAATTTTACTGTATTTTGGGAGGTGGAGTCTCAAATGGGACAAATAATTCATAGTATTGACATTTTTTCCTTTGTTCATTCCCTGCTTTCCTAATCCATATCCTCCAGGCTGCTCTCGTTAATTACCCTACATTCTTTATCAGGAAACTGTCCTTGGAAACTGTCCTCAGAGCAAGCTAAATGAAGAAGAGCTCCCTTGATGTGCAGGAGCATCAGCATTTAAAGAACAGCCAACAGGAGTGTCCTCCCCATCTGAAATTCCCAAAGTTACCAAATCATGGGATTTGCTAGATTTTCCAAGAGCCAAGAGGAAGTGCAGAAGTCTAATTTGCACTCAAATTTTTAAATTACACAACATATCATTTTACTTAAGTAACAGAACAGGTTGTTACCCTCTGACTCCCAAAAAACCTTATAGGAGTTCCTGCTGAAATGACATATGAGCGTTCTTAAACTGTAATAGTATCACCCAGGAAGAGCAACTGAATCCCTGTTTGGAGACGGAACGTGTGGTGGTTGTGTAATCAAACACAAGACCTTAAGCTATGAGCGGAGGGTTTTTTTTAGGTAGGAACACTGTTGCATACTACTTTGAGTTTTGTTTCCTTTACCTTTTATTAATAATTAAAGCAGTCAGTGGCTGCATGCCTTCCACCGCCTTGTAAGTCGGAAGATGAAGAACCCCTCTGATATATTCTACTTCAGATGTAAAGAAATGACGACAAACTAATCGAATGTAGAAATTTCATAGATTATAATCTACGTGATTACCGAACAAGTTTTAATCTCTATTCACCTTTGTGCTGCTAAAGGTTATAACAAAACTTTGATCTTGTTGTGCTTTACAAAGTTTTACCAAAAGAATTCACAGTCACTTTCTTGTGGTGATACTCAAATACAATGAAACTGCTGAGATATTACTCAAAACCAGCAGAATTTAGCCTATAATTATTCTATTTAATACTGGCATTTCAATCAACCTGATGGACTTACCTAGTGACACCTATTCACATCTTTATTGTATGTTCTTTATCAATGCCAATGTCTTCTCCTGTCCAGAGTGATTTCCTCCTGTTGTTTTCTGCCATCAAACACATCACATTCTGTCACATTACTTTGCTCTGTAAGAAACAATTAGTTACTACAGCTCAGCGTGTCAATAATGAGTATTTAATTAGCTTTTTGGAAAAATCTTTTCATGCTTTGCATTTACCTGCTTGCTTGCTGCCACCAAGTGGTATTGTGTTATATTTACCCACACAGCAAAGAAGATAGAGAGCCTTGGATCTTTTTTCTTTTTCTTTTCTCAGTTTTGCAAGTGTCATCATAGCTGTATCAAAAAAAGCAAATCCTCTGACATATGACAATGTTTGTTTTGTTTTTTTATTAAAATAAGCTAACATTAAAAATAATAAAAACAATAAAAGTGATTTGATTTGATTTGATTTGACATTAACACTTTGAGCCTAGCGACAGTTAAAATTCAATATAGATTCAAAAAATTAAAAATGTATTTCTTGTTGTGAGTAGCAACAATCTGTGATTGTGCCAGAACATATTTTGAATCACCATCATGGGCATTTCAGATTCAGCACAGGTGGCTGATTGTTACAATCTGGAAATTGAATGAAGGTGAGTGTCATAACCCAATAAATCATAAAAAAAAAACCTACCTTTTGGTGAAAAACTTGGTCATGACAGTGCAGATTCCTGACATTTTGTAAGCATGTAACAGTTTGATTATTTTCCTAACGCAAGAATGTGAAACTGAAATTAGAAAAACTGTATTTCCAACTGATCCACCTCATGTTGTGTAGTATTCTGGATTTTATACTTATTGAGCTACATCTTTATTTAATCAAAATGCACATTTTTTATGTAACGGAAATGTTTTATTATTTGGCCTAAAGCCAATAAGAAGGTTACTGACCATGTTTATATGAAACGTGTATTTTAAGCATATCTAATAAATATTACAGAATGTAACACCTGCACATTGATTTTGCCACCCCATGGGATTTCCACCCTCACATCATCCTAGGACTATTTCTCTAGATCCACCCCTGCACGTCAGGGCTTACTGGCTAGAACTGAAGGTAGATCCTATTCTATGTTTCTTTTTTACTCTGACTAGGGGCATAATAATATCATAAATGAGCACTGTGTTCTATTTATTAAAGCTTTACTTACAATCTTAAGTATAACTGAGGTTACAGATTTAAAAAGTGAAAGGCCATTTTCCTTACACTTATCTACAATTAGAGGAGTCGCCCTCTGCTGGCCCGGTGCTAAAAAGAATCCAGGTTTAAGGCACTACAAAGAGCCACTGCTCTTCTGTGCAGTGAATAATGGTCACAGAGTTTCCTTTCAGGCTTTTACATGGTTGAAAATTTGTTTTCTACAATATAATGATCCATTTAAAGTTCAAGGACTAGGACATCACTGCTTTTAAAATGTCCACCTGTAACCGGTTGGTTTAACTCTTGAATACATGGTGTAAACACAGCTGTCTGTTGAGCTTGGAACTTAGATGTGGGCTGGAATCAAAGGTAACATTGTTTTCATTGTGTGACTTTAGTTTTTTGTTTGAGTCAAATTTATTTTCTGTGTCCCACTGTGAGGACATACAAAATGTCATGAGGGCAAAAGTAACTCTGAACATAAATTGTTACATTTTGGGATTACAAGTAGATAAAGACAGGTCTATCCAGAAAATGAATGTCCTAAAACATAACAGCTGTCAGCAGAATAGTGCACAATTTTGAGAGTCTGCAATTGAAATAAGGCTGGGTCTATTTTGTGGAAAATTGTGGCTTTTTGAATTTATTGAAAGAATAGCTGCATAAGATGATGCTTTTTATTTTCCAGCGGTTGCTTTTTACAAATGTGAAAAAATCACATTTGAATTAAAAAGAGATAACACTTTATTTCAAGATAATGTTAAATCAGAAAAATCCCATTTAAACTGATGTTAAAGCATTGTAAAACTATTCAAGGAGTAATGGCAAAGTAAATGGTTTTCTTACAAATGGATGTTTTGGGTTTGTTTGGGGGGGTGTTAAACTTACTTACTGTCATATTATTTCCAAGCCTTTCAGGCTGGTTTTCTGAACATATTGATAATTCTGTCTGCACAGATTTATGTTGTTTTGCTTTCTTTAGATTTATTTTTGTACGGTCTAATATTTTGCACTGATTTACTGTAATAACCCCTCCATCCATCACCATCTAATCATGTTCCCAAGACCTGTGTTGTCGACAGAAACTTTTTCTGGTGGACCTCCCAGCACAAAATGGTCTTCAGCGGTGGGTTAGATTAAGTGTCATTCAAATGAGCACTGAGTGGCCGAGCCTTAGCCCACTGGGCCAGGTCGGGCCTACCCAGAACAAGATTCATGCGTCCACCCTCCTGTGTGGGCAGAGAGAGCTATAATGGTCTGGTGCTTTGTAGATCAAGTAGCAGTCAGTGGCTTTGGCAGCCACATCCCCAGCTGCCCAAGTTGACTTCAGGAACATAGAGATGAGTGAGGAGCTTGTTCATCTAGGACGACTCAGAGTAGAACATCTGACGAGGATGGATCCTGCATGTGTAACTGGGAGAGAACATGCTGGAGAGATGACGACTCTCACTTGCCTTGGGAAAGCATTGGTGAAAAACATTTCTGCTGGATAACCTAGAGGCTATAGCCAGGTAAGAAGTGAGTCTAAGCATCTTTTCTTAGTCTGCTGCCTCATAAATGTAAAAAAAAATGGCCCTGGTCCTGAGCAAGATTATACATGAAAGCCAGGTCAAAGAAATCTGACAGCAGTCTGGCTGGACTCGCCTAATTCCTCACAATCTTCTCAGAACAGCACTGAAGCACTATCACATCCCAAACCATATCAAGGGAATAATCAGCAGTTACCTGAGAGGGTTCAAGCGTCACTTCAAGGCCAAAGACTACCTACAGAAAGAGATGGTCACCATTCCTGTTCGCTATGAGCATTAACTTCAACGTAACGTCACTATCATTGGAGCAGTGGAAAACGTAAGACAACTGGCAATAAGGGGCTTCATACCTTACAGTCACAACATCTTCCAACATGCAGCCAAGATGATTTCTAGGTTCTAGGTTAACATCGCTGACAAGTGCAATCTGAGAAAGTGGTATGACAATTCACCAAGCGACAGAAACAACATCCACAACACAAGAAGCAGCACAAGCAGAGGGACCATTGAAGGACACTGATAAATCTGACTACCGGGGAGGCTTAAGGCATGACTGTACCAACACAGCCTGCTCCCGAGGTAGATGTGACTCATCATAATATATGAAGTCTCACAGTGGACAGAGAAGAACTGAGATAAGAAACCTGGAGGAGGAACAGAGGAAGTTAGAAATGGTGGAGGTTGGATCCAAGCC